TTTAAAGTGTTCAGTATTAATGAATTAGGACTACTTTAAAGCAGCAATGTGCTTTCCTCTTTCAAATTAAATGAAGCATTAACAAATAAAAATGAGTAAGAGCCCACATTCAGATATTTCCTTTAATTTGTGCCTTAACCTTTATATTTATCTTCCTTTCAGAAATTCCCTATAGGGTCTCCCCAAATTCTCATCCCATAGACAGCCTGCGGCCCAGAGTGACATACATTCTATGGATGACAGCTCTGACAGCTGCTGGTGAAAGCCCCCAAGGAAATGAAAGAGAATTTTGTCTGCAAGGTAAGAACCACCCTTAGAGAGGGCAAGTCCACTGTGAATTCCTACACAGGAGTATACTCCCACTCCTTGATATGGAGATTATCAGATTTTCTGTAATTCACTAATTACTTTCTTGCCGCTATACCTTTGCCCTTCCTATTTCCTCTAACCAGAGTGCCCTACCATTACATTGTCTGCTTGGAGACAGTGTCTACTCGTTTTTCTAAACTCAGCAAAAATGTTGCCCCCTCCAGAAAGCCTTCCCAAATGCACATCCATATTTCCTTCATAATGCGCTATACTTGACCCCTATTCAAAACTCTGAATCCAACAGGCAGGGACTAGTATCTGTTTAATCTCTATCATCAAGGTCTAGAATGGCACCCAGCACATAGTACTTGTTAAATGAATATCTGTTCAATGAATGATGAGAATAATCCCAAAAATAATACAGCTACTGCATATCAGATAGTTATGTGCCAGGCACTGTGTTAAGCTCTTTGAATACTGCATCAGTTTGCTGGGGCTCTTGTAACAAAGTACCACAAACTGAGTGGCTTAAACAACAGAAATTCATTTCCTCACAGTTCTGGAGGCTGGAAGTCTGAGATCAAGGTGTCAACAGAGTTGGCTTCCTCCAAGGGCTATGAGAGAATCTGTTCCACGCCTCTCACCTAGCGACTGGGGGCAATCTTCGGCATTCCTTGGTTTCTAGATCTCTACCTTCATCTCACTTAAAGTTTTCCTTGTGTGTTTCTCTTTGTTCAAAATTGCCCTTTTTACAAGGATACCAGTCATGTCAGACTAGGGGCCACCCTACTCCAGCCTGACCTGTCTTAACTAATTACCTCTGCAATGACCCTATTTACAAATAAGGTCACTTTCTGAGGTACTTACTGAGTTGGAACTTCAATATATGAATTTTGGGGGTGGGAGGACACAATTCAACACATGTAACACATACGTTTACTCGTTTAATCCTGCCCACAACCAAGTAATGTGACTGCTTTACATGCCTGTACCTGGCCATACTACCAGGCACTCAATACGAAATGAATAAAAGAATGAGAGATTATGATGCCTTTTTACAGGTGTGAGGTACAAAAAGATTACCCAAGGTCTTAGAGGTGGCAAGTGGCAGAACTACAAATCAGACACAGATTTGAGTTTCTTAAGTTAAATTTGAGTATGTGACGAAGTGACCCAGCTAACATGAGTTTCTCTCCACTGGCTAAATTATGCTTTTCTCTCTGGCAGCCCCTGTTTGCATCTGCTCTAAGCATAAAACAAGCTGTTCTTGCTTTATGACATGGAGTATCAAGTTAATCATTCAGGGCTTTGTTGTTCTATGCCAGATACTCCTCCACTGGGGAAAGTGACAAGCCCTCTTCTCAAGCACTCCCATGAAAGTTAACTTGTGAGCAATTAATTGGACTAAGGACTCAGCATCTTTCTACTCCTGGTACTCCAGACTCGTCCCATCTGCCCGGAAAGAAAGGCAGATGCTAACGAAATGTCAGATTGTGCCGATTGTGTGGGGTGGTAACAAGGTTTCCTGCATTAACTCCCCTGTTCAGCCCTGGGAAAAGCCCCTGTCACAGGGGCTAGCAGGTCTCTGGCCGCTAGTGGCCCCTGGTCACCCTCCCTCCCACCCTGTTCTTCACTCTATCAGAAGAATCTTTCTACAAGATCCCTGTTGCTACATTCTACCTCCTGTTGCAACCCATCGGTGGTTCCCCACGGGCTTTCAAGCTAGAATTTAAACTGCTTTGTTACCAAGCCCTGCACGACCTGGTCCTGTTCATCCATCTAGCTTTGTTGTCTGCCGCATACTCATCATTCATACTGGAAAGCAAGGCCAGACTATTTGCGGTTGCTGAAGCACTCGCTCTTTCCTCCTTCCGTGCTTGCTGTCTAGTCTGCACTTCCCTAATTTGTCCACTTAGCCAACTCCTAGCCATCCGACTCTAAACTTTTGACATCCTGCCTTTTGGGAAACCTTCCTGAGCTGCTCGTGAAGCCATTTCCCATGCTGTTCTCGGTGACACAGCCTTGTACATGCTGTTTTTACATGTATCCCGTGGCATCATGGTTTACTGTTTATGTGTTTACACATCTGTCTCCTGGACTGTCTTCAGAGCCTATGTCCCATTCACCTGTGTATTACAGCACCTAATCTGGCCTGTTACATGGTTTACATTCAATACATGTTGGATGAATTAATGAAAAATTCCAACACGTAGTGAAATATTTACATGTCATAGGAAGGAATCAGAACAATTTCAAAGACCCTAGGTAGACAGAGGGCTTATCCAATGGTTTGGTAAAATTAATAGCTACCATTTCTTGAGGCCTCCTCTGTTCAAGTACATGGCTGTGCCCTTTAAATACACCATCTCTAATGTTCACAACAACCTGCAAGGTAGATGTCATCGTTCACCTTTTGTAGATCAGGAATCTGAGGTCCACACATCAGTCAGCGGCAGAGTTAGGAATGGAATCCAGGGCTTCCAGTTCACAACCAGTGCTTTGTATACCACACTCCCTTTCCTTCTGCACCTATTAGAGGAAGAAGCCCTTGTAGGGCTGGAGCTCCTTCCTTTGAACCTTAGTATTGGCCCCTTTGGGCCCTTTCTTCCTTCTTCAGTGGGCGAAAGAGAGTTGGCCTTGTTCCTGAGTCTAGCTATCCAGGAGCTGTGGGTAAAGCCCAGCGGGTTCACACAACAGTCAGTATTTAGAAATGTTCATTGACGATAACTCAGTCACAGGGTATGCTAACTTTTCGTTTCAGGTAAAGCCAATTGGAGCACATTTGTGGCACCAAGCATTTGCATGGGTGTCATCATGGTGGGCGTTCTCTCAGTGCGTTGCTTCCGGCAAAAGTAAGTTCATTACACCTGCCAACTTTGGTAAATTTTTTTTTTTTTTCATATAATAGCTGTTGCTGCTATGGGTCAAAAAAATGGTTACTCTCCTACATCGCTGGTAGCACACTAAATATAGTCACCTTTTTGGGGTGACAGTATATGTTTAATTTTAAAAAATATTAAACATTTCACCTAGCAATTCCCATCTAAGTATATCATAGGTATATACAGATATTTAGTGGCAACTATGTTCACTGAAGTATCGTTCATAGAAGGAAAACAATTTGAAGCAACCTAAATGCCTAACGACGTGGGATTGGTTAAATAAATCACAGTATATTTCATGCTATACAGCATACTATGCATTCATTAAAGATGTAGAAGAAAATTAAATGGTATGAATATTTGCTATATTACATTTTAAAAAGCAGGTTGCAAAACATGTACTTTCATTTTTAAAAAATAGTGCATACACACGTGCCCACAGACACGCAAGTTATATTAGTTAGCATTTAATTTGGTTGTATGTAACATAAAAATATGACAAATGAGCTAAGTTTCTCACCCAGGTAAAGTAAGTAAACTCAGGTAACGGCTGGTGTAGGAGGTCCCCAGTCATCAGAGACCTAGGCTCCTTCTTTTTCTGCTTCACTATCCCGACATTGGCTTTCATCATCAAGTTCACCTCATGGTACAATGGCTGCAGGAACTATGGCCATCGTGCCTGCATTCTACAACTACAGGGAGAGGGGAGGTGCCCACACCCACCTTTTCAAGACACATGAAGAAGTCACACATGGCACTTTAGGTTACCTCTCATTCGCCAGAACTTGGTGAGGCAAGGAAGGCTTAAAACTGTGGCCTTTTAGCTGGGCTTATTGTTGTCCCAGTACATCAGGGTCCCCTTTCTAAGAAAGAGGGGAAAATGGGTATTGGACGGCAGTTAATACTGTGGGCTCCAAGGACATACACTAAAATATTAATGGTGGTTATAACAGGGGATAGAATCATAGTGCTTTTAGTTCTATTTAACTGTATTTCCTAAAATTTCTTTAAACATGTATTATTTGGTAAAGAGAATTTTTTAAATGAGTTACTTATTCAATAGTTTTCTTCAGATGTTGTGTAATGTAGGAGAAGAGGTCAAAATAAAACTAGCTCAAAGTCATTCTACTAGTCATTGAACCTGTCTGAAAGGTTTTCCATTTATTGAAGTTCCCCCATATGTGATAATTCAAAGCAGAGCTCTCTTTAGGTAGACTTTGAAAAAGTTGAACTCAAAGAGTCAACTAGGATCACATGCATCCTCTCTTCAGGGAAATAGTATCAGTTAGGGTGGAGGCTTCTGCTGTTAAAGAAAAAAAAAGAGCCCCCAAATATAGTGGCTTTAATAAAATAGCTCATTTTTCTCCCATATAATAGTTCTAAGGTATGTCATCCAGATTGGTTGGCAGCTCTGCTCCACACTGTCATTTAGGGATCTAATTGTCTTCCACTTTATTGGCCCACCATCCCTTGGGTACTTTCCTCACCTGCATGATCTATACTAGGTCACAGGTACCTCTGCTCACATTTCTTTGGAAAAAAACCTAGTCACATGGCCTCATCTCTTGTTTCAAAGGGTTGAGCACGTCCCAGAAGCTTACTTTTCTTATTAAACAAAGTGTGTTAAAGCCAAGTCTTTAAAAATGCTTCATATTGGTCTTGAAATTTTTTTAAAAAATAGTCAAAATAGTTGTCATATGCATATGAGAAACATTTTTAGGATTTTTTCTTCCACATAATAAACTCACTTTAAAATATTTTCAAAAACCCAGAGATGTGGGAAGAAGAAATAAAAAGACCCTCTGATCGCCAAATACAACTACTTTAATAGTTTGGATATTTCCATATTGGTATTTTTTTTGGCATTTTTTTAATTGGTTATGTCCAAGCTGTTTATACCACCTGTATCCCATTTTGTTTTCATTACAAGCTCTTTATAAACATTCTAATTTACTAAATATAAATAGTAATCTCCCCAAGGGTACTGACCATGTCCTCTTGTTTGCTGCTTTATCCCCAGCATGTGGCACTGTGCTGGTCATACATTAAGGATTCAATCAACGTTTGTTGAGTGAGTGCTTGGCTGCTTAGTGTAGCTAAACATTACACCGAGCCAAAGTCCCATAGTTTATTTAGCAAACCCTAAGTGGTTGCACCACGAGTCCTTATCATCTATAAACTTCACAGAAAACTAGTCCAGACTTGGGTGATGCATCATCTTTCTCCTGCAGTGTTTACATTTTACTCATTTGCATACCCCTACACTGAAGTCACTGTGCTTCCATGCCACCGTGTGCCCACTTAACCCATGTCACTGTTTTCTTTACCTGCAGGGTATTTGTTCTCCTTTTGGCCCTCAGACCTCAGTGGTGTAGCAAAGAAATTCCAGACCCAGCGAATAGCACTTGGGCCAAGAAATATCCCATTGTGGAGGTAAGGTATAAAGCCTTAGTGGTCAGTCGATGGGGTTCTGGTGATCAGTACATCTAAGTCTTTCATTGTAGTACAGGGAAACCTCAGTGTTTAGATCCTATGGATAAGCTGCTTATCACGAGTGCTAGGTTACCATCGGAGTCATCACTCCCATGCACAGGAATTTTCTGAAGCTTATGACCAAGACTAAAAGACCCATAACTTTTCATTCCTCTCTATGCCTTCTGTTCCTCTCCTCACCTCAGCTCACTTCAAAAGAAATTTTAAAAGCAAATATATTTGCCAAGCACTAGTCTGAGCATTGGCTCATCCAAATTCAAGAGCACTGAAGCTTTACTGTGATGTTCCCCGTCCTGTGTGAGCACAGAACAGATAAATAGAGCCCAGACTATTTTGGTCTTGGCAGGAAGCCAGTAAGTCATTCCGTTGTGCAAGGAAAAGGTTTGAAGGCAGGAGAGGTTGCTCAGCTGCAGATGAGCGTGCTGGGAGTAAAGGACACGCAGGGAGCGGCTGCCACAGTCCTAGGAGGGAAGAGCAGCTCACAGCGGGCAGCAGGGTCTGTCTCTGACGGAGGGTCTTGAAGGGGAGGAGAGGGGTGCCCACATTCTTCCCATCACCCGGCGCCTCGGCAGCCCCGCACTCTCGCATCGTATAGCCCTCCTCCTCCAAGATTCTTCTCTTCAGTCACCCATGCCTCATCCAGAAGCCAGTGGTACCAGCCGCCTCTCAGAGAAAGAGCTGGTCCCAGCCATGTCTGCCTCCGTAGGAAGTTAAGTCACCGCAGTTTAATGCCTTTGAAATAAGGCCACCTCTGCCACTTACTATGTCAATGACCCTTGAGCGCTTGCCCGATGACATGAGCCTTAGTTTTATCCTCCGTAAAATAGGAATTGACAATATCTCTCATGTATATTGTTGTGAAGACTAAGTAAGATGCCATGTAAAGCACATGGCTCATACAAGGCAAAGATCATTCATTTTCTTCCCAGGAAGATTTACACTTGAAGTCTCCTCTGTCTATTGAGGAGTTTTGTTGCTGTTAAGTTACAGTAGCAAGAACAGTATAATAATAACAGTATATGTATGTGCGTGTATATGTCGTATATATGATAGATGTTTGATATATATTTGATTATACATGACATATAATTATATATGATATACAACAGTATTACATAATAATATATTTACATTTATATATACACATAACATACATTACTTTCTCTATGCCAGGCACTTAAAAAAAATTTTCATGCATTAACACCTAATCTGTACAACAGCTTTATGAGATTGTAATATTATTATCCCCATTTTTCAGATGAGGAAAGTGAGGGACAGAGGACTCAGTAACTTGCCCAGTGTTAGTCAGCTTGTAGGTGGACCCTGGATTCACATACAAGCAGGATGTGCTGTCCTCCATTATACTATACGTTCTAAAAGATCTTAAGCACAGGCTGAGGGGTGTGTTTCCAGCAGTCAAAACCTCTGAGCTGAACAGACTAACTCAAGAGGTGTTCACACACTGGGCCCTCACTTGGTGGCAATATTGTGATGACCTATGGGAAGGCACTCAATAAGGATGCCACTGCTAGTATTAGAGGGGATTCATGTACCAGGAACTGAATCAACTGAGCTCTAAGATCTCTCTCTTCCAATGCGGAGATTCCACAGTCCCATGTCCTAAAAGCCTGAAATAGCACAGTGAGAAGCAGCTCTGGGTCAGTCGCTGACACCTGGCTCCCAAGCTGGTAGCTGTGGCATCATGGCCTCTATTTGCCACTGCCTGGACACGAGGGGATACAGAGGCATGCAGAGCCACTGAAGAGCCCACAAAAGCCTAGAAGAGATGCTGAGAAAGACAAAGAGTTAGAGAAAGTAACACATGGAAAAAATAACAGAAATTGCCATACACATGCCCAAAGTTGTACAGTATGAGTATGTTCACTGCAGCATTATAAATAGAAGCCGTAACGTAACCTGCCACCAGGGGGCTAGGTTAAACATTTGGGTATATCTGTACAACAGGATGTTGCACACCTACTCAAAAAAAATGAGATCTATATGTGTCTAACATCTCTAATATATTTAAAAGTGAAAAAAAGCAAAGTTTGTACTAATTGTCTAAAGTGGGTTCTCATTTGTATAAAAAGATGATTTTATACACACACACACAGTCTCCAACATGTACACAGGATATTTCTGGAAGCCTAAATATGAAACTGATAATGGTGGTTGCCTTTGGGGAGGCAGCTGTAGGCATGAAGCCCACTTAATTTTTATTACAAATTCCCTTTGAACTTAAAAAAATTTTTTTACAAAACTATGTGCATATATTTCTTTTGCAAAAATAACCAGTAAATTAGAAAATAAAAAAAAATTAAACATGCCATCTATGATGGCCTTGTGGCAGCCTCAGAACCCCATGTCACTTGACCCTTGAAGGGGTAGACTGTTTTTAAAGACCCAAACTGCTCTCCTGGTGACAGGCTGGGGCAGACATCAGAAACACAAGTCTTTCACCTCCAACAAAATGTGCTTTAAGTTCTCAGACTTTACATCCCCCTACCATTTCTTAAAATGTGGCTAAAATGCCATGGGTCTTAAAGCTCTAGAGGGAAAGGCCCAGTCATAAAGGGGATCACTGGGATGTTATCTATTTTGAGCTTGTAAAAGCTTAAAATAGTTTCCATGATGTACCTGAGTTATTAGTGGTCCAAGACGCCTTGCCCCAGGACTTGTCAGCCAGGGGGGCTGCTTTGTAAAAGCTCTGAGGAACAGCCTCTATTGATACTGCCAGAGCTTTCAAGAAGGCAGAGCCTCGCACTGTGAAAACAACGTGATCCTCATCCAGTGAGATCTCTTCCATAGCAGTGGTCTCAGCACTTTGGCCGCTGCCAGTCACGTTCCAAGCCAGACCAATGTGCCAGGGCCAGTTTGCATAGCGATAGGGAAAAAGCAGGCTCCCGAAAGAAAAGTACACACGTACCCTCTGGCTGCTCAGCGCCCTTTGCAGAAGTCTACCCTAAGACAGCATCGTCATTCACTTTGGGGACAACTGCCATGCTCAAGGCAAGGGTGGGGACATCAGAGGCCAGTCCAAACCAAACCATTCTTGCACAACTTGGCATCCGACAGATGAGGGATCCAAAGTCCAGACAGGTAGACTGAGTTTTCCCAAGCCGTAGAGTCTCCGAGTTGGGACTAGTCCTCAGGGTTTGCCCTGTCCTAATGCTGTTTTTTGTTATTCTCCTCCTCCCTTAAGGCATGGTCCCTACTTGCAGATAGCTTACAGACATGTTAAAAAAAAAAAAAAAAAAAAGTGACAGCATAAAGCTTCTTGTGCTAAGAACCTAACAGGTGGCTTCTTTGCTGTTGTAGGAATCCAGTGGAGGGAACAGTCACTAGGGGCTTCATGAAAGCAGGCTTTGGAGATCTGCTTCAGAAAGATCAAGCAGTCAGCATAAAACATAGTTTCAAGGACGTAAAGAGAGCCCAATAAAGCCTGTAAAAAGAAATGTTAATAAAGTGCTTGAACTTGACTCAGGAATCAGTAATAAGTTTGGAAAGGAAAAATATGACACTGAAGAGCTGGTAACCAATTAGATGTCCAGAAAGACAAAGCAAGAAAAGTACCAACTGAAATTAGCTGTAGGGAAGAAAGGATGAACATCATTTCCAAAAAAGTTATTCCAGAGGGTTCTTTCTTATGAGCATAACTGACAAGGATATTACCCTGACAAAAAACCTTCAGTAGTTGTATCAAAGCCCAAACTCTTTAGCATCCCATAAAAGTCCCTTCAACATGTGACCTCCTTCTATTTCTGAAGCCTCAGTGTGTCTGTCCTAAGAACTAGCAGGTTCCAGAATAGACCAATTCTCCTTGCCCACCACCTCCTTACCTGGAAAATACTATACATCTCTCAGGATTCAGCCCTAGTGTGACCCTTTTAAATTCTTCTGTGCCTCATCCCCAGACAGATGCAAGCTCAGCCCTTCCTTTGCACACCCTCGTACCCTCTCTGCTAGAGGAAAAGCAGCTGGTGCAGTTTGACTCACCAGAAACAAGTCTAGTTGAAGGTTGAGCAGGGTAGCGAATCGCTCACTGGCTGGGGTTGACAGGAGTCCATGGCTCCTGCCTGTCTGCCTCCCCAGCAATGTTAACTGCTTCTCTTACCTCACAAAGTAAAGGCCCACAGTGTTCCACCTCGAGCTGACTAGGCAGTGCAGGCTGCCAGGCCTTTTGGAACCCTGGAGAAGTCGGTCGTCATGGCTACTTACTCAACATAGCCACATGAGTTTCTTCCTCCCCTTTTTCAGGAGGAGACGCAGCTGGCCTTGGATAGGCTCCTGACAGACTGGCCCACTCCCGAGGAACCTGAGATCCTGGTCATCAACAAAGTCCTTCACCAAGTGACCCCAGCCTTCAGACGTTCCCATCACCCCAACTGGCCAGAAAAGGGACAAGGAGTCCAAGGTCACTATACCTCTGAGGAAGACACAGGATACAGTGCCTCGAGCCCCCCACCTCCGAGAGCTCTCACAGCAGAGACAGGACAAGGGGTGGATCTGTACAAGGTGCTGGGGAGCAAGGGCCCCGACTCAACACCGGGAAACCCAGCCAGCCCCTCGACAGTCCTCCCAGTGGACTACCTTCCTGCCCATGAGGGCTACTTACCCTCCAACATAGATTATCTCCCTTCACGTGAGCCTCCCATAACTGACCCTTGGGAAGAACTGCCTCAGCACATCTCTCTTTCCATTTTCCCCTCGAGTTCCCTTCACCCACTCACCTCCTCCTGTGGTAAAAAGTTGACTCTGGATCAGTTAAAGATGGGGTGTGGCTCCCTCATGCTCTGAGTGGCAAAGCTTGAAGTTTGGAAAGTCGATGTGCCTCCAAGTGGCACAGCGTGCCCCATCTCCCCAGCCACCTGCTCCAGTGGTTGTTACGTCTGGTTGCAGCTAGAGGGCAGGCAAGCCAACTCAGGGTGAATCTCATCTCAAGATACCTCATCTTGCCTTCTCCAGAGCCTTAAGATCACATCCTCTGCTGTGTGGACCTAGAGACTCCAATCTGGGTTCCTGCAACTTTCTTGGCTATGTTGGCCAGAAAGGAGAAAGGCAAGAGTGGAAACCAAAACTCTTACTAGCAATGGCAGACAGTCCAGAGGACCATTCATCCAACAACTATTTACTGTTGACCCTGAATAATATGTTTGAGCTGCATGGGTCCACCTATATACAGATTTTTTTAAATAATAAATTCTACAGTACTACATGATCCATTGCTGGATGAGCCCATGGATGCAGAACCACAGATGAGGAAGGCCAGCTAAAAGTTATATGCAGATTCTCAACTGCACAGGGGAGTTGGCACCCCAACCCCCACATTGTTTAAGGGTCAACTTATAAAGCAGCTACTACAAACCAGGTCTTATGTCTAGATCAGTACCGTCCAATAGGCCTGAGATAGAAATGTTCTATGTATAGCTGCCCTGTTTGATCCAACAGATACTAACCACATTGGCCATTGATTACTTACGGATGTATCTCTAGTATGACTGAGGAATTGACTTTTTAATTGTAATTAGTCACATATGACACTTGGCCACTGTATTGGAGAGCACAACTCTAAATGATGGACATATTAGTGAGAATTACTGGGTACCTTCAAAACAGATCGACCTAGTTTTACATATGCAGGCATAAAAGACCCCAGTGAACACCAATATAAAAGGGCTCCCAAGATGGTCATGGTTGTCCTTATTTGTAGAAGCCTAAGAATGTACCTTTTCCTTAGTTTTGCCCGTTTGTTTTCTTTTGCCTTCACCCTTCTTCAGTGACAGCAGCTTGATGGTGGAAAGCTACTGCTAAACCCACTGTAGGACCCTGGGCAAGCAGCCTCCCCTCTCTGAAATCCAATGTCTTGTAAAAGAGTGGGCCAAAGCTTCTCTGACCCCTTGTGTTTCCTCTTCTTTCTGCTGCAGCTGATACTGCCTTTAGGACCAGGGCTACCTCAGGGTCTAAGACCAAACTGCCTAGATTGCACTCATAAGTCATCCCTTCTGAAGGCATCCTGCTTTCCTTCCTCAAGAAAACTCTTGAGCTGGTCCTCAGACAGTTCAAGTTGAGCATGGAAGATAATTCTCTTTTCCCCAGCATGAACTTGGAAAACTTTAAAGATATGGCCTCTGGCTTATCATCCTCCCTTCACCCATCACTGCCTCTATCCCTTAACTATAGGCACTTCTGCTAAGTTGATAGAGAAGGCTCTTAGTCTACATGCTAATAGTACTCTTTGCAAACAAATGGGATGAAAGGTCCAGAAACCTTTTTCTTAAATCCCTGTCAAGCCTGGGTCATACACCCTACCACCATCCCACTCAAACACTGGAGCTGAGGCAGCTTTGGTTTACCAGATGTCCCTCAGAGCTCTAGAAATTGAAATGAGCATTTGCTCTGTTTGTTCAACACTTCATCCATGCCTCCTGCTATTCCAGACTAACACGTTTAGTTCTTCCGAGCTTAATTTGAAAAGCTTAAGCTTCTTCCTTACATCTCCATTCTACTCTATTTAGCTGCTGTGTAGCACTCCCTTACCATGGTTCCCTGCATCTCAGCAGCTTCAGTACTGGCTTGTCTGCACCCAGGATGTGGAGCCCCTTGACTGTTTGCAATGGGCCATGACAAAGCTGCCACCTCAGAAGCAGGCCAACCTATCACCTCTTGACAATAAGAGCCAACTTTTCTTTCTTGCAATACCTGCTTTTCCTATATTTACTTTCCTTTTGATTACCTGATAGCCATCTTAGTCACTCTTCCCCTACCCCGGGGGTCCGGAAGCCCCAGGCCATGGACCGGTACCGGCCCATGGCCTCTTAGGAACCGGGTCGCACAGCAGGAGGTGAGCAGCGGGCAAGCGAGCGAAGCTTCATCTGTATTTACAGCCGCTCCCCATCGCTGGCATTACTGCCTGAGCTCCGCCTCCTGTTAGATCAGTGGCGGCATTAGATTCTCATAGGAGCGCAAACCCTACTGTGAACTGCACATGCGAGAGATCCAGGTTGAGAATCTAATGCCTGATGATCTGAGGTAGAGCTGAGGCAGTGATGCTAGCTCTGGGGAGCGTCTGCAAATACAGATTATCATTAGCAGAGAGGTTTGACTGCACAGAGACCATAATAAATCAATTGCTTGCAGACTCATATCAAAACCCTATCAGTGAGCGGCAAGTGAAAACAAGCTCAGGGCTCCCACTGATTCTGCATTATGGTGAGCTGTATAATTATTTCATTATTTATTACAATGTAATAATAATAGAAATAAAGTGCACAATAAACGTAATGCGCTTGAATCATCCCGAAACCATCCCCCCTCCCCCCACCCTACCCCCGTCTACGGAAAAACTGTCTTCCACGAAACCAGTCCCTGGTGCCAAAAAGATTTGGGACCAATGCCTTACCCCTTTGGCCTCAACACACAGGCCCCAGTCTCCCTTTTCCCCTCCACACCTTTTCCCCTCCCTTAAAACTCCAGGTGGTACTGCAGTCCTCACTTGCTTTCCTAAAAGGTGAAAAAAAAATTTTTTTTTTTAAGGGAGAGTTCCTTGACCCCTAAAGGCTCCTTCTAAGGATGCAGAGGCCTCCTCAGTGCTCCCCTAGCATGATGCACTTACTTCCTCTAGTGGACTGTAAATAGCTGGAAAGCAGGAACCATGGCAATCTCCAGCACCATGCCTGGTCCATAGTAGGCTATCAATAAAAAGTAAAAGATGTCTTCTGCCACCACTTCCACCTTGTTCCTTCTATTCCAGAAGCCAGTCCAGCTGTGCCTGCTTCCTCTTTATTGAGACAATTGCATTTGCTTGTAATCTCTTCATTCCCAACCCCCATTCTACCCTACCGTTTATTGACAGCACTATTGTAATACATGTAGCAGTTTCTTATATTAAAAACATATTTGAACATGCCTTTGGCTGCTCACCCTGCCAGATAAAATGTCCTCTTTCCGTGAATGACAGGATGGGTAACCTCATTCTGCCCTTGCCCCAAAGTTTTTGTTATCTCCCTTTCTGCCCACACACAGTCAAAATCCCCAATCAGATTGCCTAGTTTACCAGGACTAGGTAGAGCTCACTAATATTCATATAGCCAGGCTTTCATTCCTCAGGAAAATTGCAACTCTTTAAATCCTCTCTCCTTATATCCAAAAGCCAACCCAGAAATCTCTGCTCTACTAAAACACATCAAATTCCTTAATTCTCTGGGACCTAAATACTACAAATAGTCCAAGTTCATTCTCAATGAATTCATGGGAATGTCTACCAATTTCTGTATACAGATCATTACCCTGAATTAAAAGGGCCCTCTTTTCCAGAAGCCAGAAATTCTATTTCCTGGGCCTCTGTTTTCCTTATAGGCAATAGGAAAGCCAAACTGGTGTTATCTAGTTCTTTCCCTTTAGTGCCTTTTCCCCTCCACCCTGTCCCAATTTCTCAGCTTCCATTAAAAGCCTACAGCTGCAACTCTCCAATTCCCAGAGGCCAGTCAAAGAAATGCCAAACTAGGCACATTCTATTCTAGTCAATCCCCCCGTGTTTGATTCTTGGTTTTCTCGATCAAGCTCTTTTTCTTTCACCTGACGTAGTTGTCATCTGTCCCAGCTCAGGCCCTCCAAAGAAGCCCTGTTGTTCTCTTCCTAGCCTGCAGGACACAAAGACACTCACATTATCCACCCTTATGAAAGGCTAATAGGTGAACCCTCAAATTAATCAATCTCTAGAATAAAAGAGATCAGAAAGGCCTCTTCTTCAACCTAAAAGAAAAAAAAAAGATAAGCAATTTAATCAACTGGCCAACTGATGATAGAAAGAAACAAGTCATATTTTTACATCACAGCCTACACAGGAATAAATTTCCAATTAAAACTTTGCAAAACACACACACCAAGTTAGATAAAAGTATTTGCAAGACATGCCAAGATACTTAATAAGGCACTCTTACAGATCAATATGATAAAAGCCAACACTTCAAAGAAAAATGGAGTGAGCAACTCATAAAATACATATAAATGTCTGATAAGCATAAAAAACCCCCAGCTGTAATCAAAGAAATAAAAATTAAGTACCATTTTTCCCTTACCAAATTAGCAACAGTAATGAAAAAATTAGCGACTATTAATCAGAGAACTGCGGTTGGCTACAGGAATGTTAGTTGGCTCTTTTCTGGAGGCACCTGGGCAATATTCAATAAAATTTGACTAGCAATGTAGACTAAAGAACAGTACAAATATCATAGTCTATAAAAGATTTATCACAGCATTGATTATAATGGGGAGAGGAACCTAAATGCCCTTCAGTAGGGACATGGTTAAATCACGCATACAATCAATCACTGAATTTCATGGAGTCTAAGACGCCACCAATTTTAGGGGACACCTCATTACTTTGCTATGAATAGGGAAAAATGCAAATTAAACTGTAATATGCCATTGATTGCTATGGTGCACACTTCCCCGCCCCCTCCACATAATTTTAACGTGACTGAAATTGGGATGCGTCTTAGAATTGATGCAAAGCATACTATGCAGCCTTTTAAAAAAAACATAAAAATGTCTGACATGGAAGTGGTTAAAACGGCTGAATAGAATCATCTCACTTTTATAAAGCAATGCAAAAAAAAATCTAAATATACACCAAAATGCTAACAGTGACTACATCCAGCCACAGGTTTTTAAATTACACTTTTGCATTCCTTTCATCACAAAGGCTCATTACTGTTAGAAGTGGAGAGTCAATGAAATATAAAATATTACCAATTTCTTTCCAAAGACCTGAGACAGTGGGTCCTAATGACAGACACTCACCACTTTCTTTATGGCCCATGTCTCTTTCATCCTCCACCTCCTGTCTGGCACTTCGACCCTTAATACTCCAGTCAGAGGGTAGAAAAGACAAAGTAGCTTCCACACTAGGTGAGGCGGGGGGCGGGGGGGGGGATGTTAGAGTAATAACTGAAGCAATGGATCTTTGAAATACAAAGTTTATATAAAAAGCCAAATTTTGCCTTATTCCCATTCTAACAGTAATTGTTAATAATGATCAATGACCTCTAACACAGTACTTAATACATGCAGTTTTTAAGGGGTGTAAGACGGTTCTCACCATGACTGGTTTAAGGTAGGTGTTATCTCCACTATAGAGATGAGGAAACTGTGATACAAGTAACTTAACCAAAGTCACACAATTAGTACCTGATACCGGTCTGGTTTTAGAGCATAATTTTCAACTACTTTAATTCTTTTCTGTGCAAGTGACTACACAACAAATTTATATCGATTAGGGTTCTGACTGTAGTTGACTGTAACTGTGAGTCCATAAAAATCTTTGAAGCTATTGTCACTAGGTAACCAAAAACTGGCATCTCTGTACTTCTAAAGTTCTAGAGCCTTCTTGGTTCTTGAGAAATCTACCCAAAAAGCATGACACCAGGACAAATCTGGCACTCCTGAATTTGCTAACTTATCTACCCAGCTAATCTAAATCCTACAATACAAGGCACACTGTGTAAGGCCACAGAAGGGAAATAACACTCCTGAGAAAGTCCATTATTTTAAGGAAATTGGTAAGTATTTAAAACTATGAAAACATTATGCCTTTCAAAGAAAGAGAAAAGTAACCAGAGCAGTGTGTTCTCTCTTTAATTAAAATAACTATAACCCCATCCAACTTACCTGATTTTTTCCAAACATGGTTATTTCTTAAGTAGAAAGTAGGGCTGCATTTGACTCAACTGTGTTGCTTGTATGAACTGTTGAAACATAAATGCCTTTCCTTCATTCTATGGTAACTGGCTCCACATTTTGTTAATCGTCCTTTCTTTTATTTACAAGTGGCAAAACCATTCTTAATTTGGCTCCGAATCTCCAAGAAACATACAAACCTATTATGTGCTACCTTGGGGTTCCTTTACATCAATTCTGGCCACTTTTCAATTTCCACAACTGTACGGAATTCTTCCACAAGAGACCTGGGCCTTGCCTAGGCAAGAGAATGTCAGGTGAGGCCCACAATACCTTCCCTTTTCCAATTTCACATATTTTGCTACCCATAGGTAATTGGACCCAATGAAATACTTATAAAAGCTGTTATGAGATTCTCACAGAGACTAAATTGTTTTCAAAGGCCCTGAATTTTCACCAGAAAGGTAGAACACCCACAAGCTAAAACATTTTTGCAAGTTCAGAAAACTGCAAAAACATTCTTCTGAAATTGGATAGAAATTATTAGTAACGAAACACTTGTTCCTTTAGGAAACAAAATCTAACTCACTTACTAAAATGTCAACTATATATCCTCCTGCACATTAGCTGAAAATGTAGCCTGTGTTAACTAGAGGGTTTTTCCTGTGCTATTCAAAGCGAAGAGCCTGGAGACCCTCATCCCTAGACAAAAAAATCTCTCAAGGTGAAAATAGGATGCCACAAGAGTTCATTTAGAAGCAGAAATCTTACTTTACCCCATCACAAAGGGAGTTAAAAGACCATTTGCCTTTTCACAATACTGTAGAAAATACTAGTTTTCTAAGTTTTCTCTCCTTTCACTTTAACAACTGCACATGACTGGATTCCTTTGCATACTATGAACACTCCCTTTAGACTCCCTCTGGTCTATGGCAGGATAGCTTTCAGAGCAGTTGTATAGATGTAAAAGAAAAAAAACACATCCACTTTTGACATACTTAAAATAGATAAAATAACTAGAAAGGATAATTCAGTAATTTCTCCAGCTACAGATACTCTTCAAACTTTTTCCTCTAAAAATCTGCAGTTATTTTTAAAGTTTAATAACTCTTAAGTAGCAAGAAACTGATGATCCTGAAAAAAAAGGTGGGGGGAACATCCATGCTTTGCTGTTATTGAGGTGCTGGTTATTTAAGTTCTTCAAGCAAATATTTTCACCTGGTATCATACAGCCTCCAAAGCACTTCTCTATTTCTGTCAACGTGACTTCCAGCTCTACCATTTGACTCAAAATGTGGGGCTGAGTGGGGGTGGGCCAATCCAACTGTTCAATGTTGAACACTTCCATCTACTGGATTTTGTCAATACAGTGACAAAGTGCCACTCATCTTCAAGGGATACTGTTATGAACAAAACACAGTGGTCTGAAGCACACACAATATACGTGGCTGGGTATGCTGATTTTCCTCGTATGATTAGTGACCAATGAACACCTGCATGAAAAGTAGTTTTATCCAATCCAGTCTTCCATGGCATATTTAAGAAGCTACTACAACTGTAGCACCTAAGTGAAGCCTTGATAAACAAGTACACAAGAGCAAGCTGAAACCAAATTATCTGTAGTTTTTAGGAAAAGGTCTTCCTCTTTTACTGGGAAAAAAAAATGTGGAAGCTTCACTGGAAATTCAGAATTTCCACAGAAAAGACAAACCACTGTATCTCTAAACAGAAAGGTTTTCTGTGTTTAGTTCATTTTGCCAGTCATGTAAGCCTACACATTTTCAGCTATGAAATAGTGTGGGGGGGGGTGGGGAGGATTCTACCATCTTCATTGATGTGTTTAGTCAACCCCTGAGCACTTTGACAAAATGCCTAAACATGTGCTCATCTAACTTTTGTCAGTATGGCTGCCAAACAAAGTAACATTTCACTATAGATTATTACACCCAAGGTGTGAAACAACGAATTCAACATGTAAAAGTTCCCATAATTTCTGACATTATTCATCAGCTAATAAAAAACTTGAGATCCAATCTGACAAAATTCTGGGCAATGTCAAGAACCAAGTTCAACTGCATCACTTTACACAAAATCTCCATTCTAGGTAGATGAAAACCTGTGCCATTTCTTCAAATTGAAGCTCTTTCTAGGTCCTAAAATCTGTAAGAGAAATCAACTACAACTGCAATTAAGGTGACAGTGTAAACTATATACAGTGTATATTATACTATGTATTGTATATAGTGTAAACAATACTGTCCAAACAAACTACTTCCCAAATAACTTCTCAGTTCTCCAAATAACAAAATCCTAAATATTCACTAGCCCTTTGCTTTTCACATTTCCATACCAGTAACACTAAAGCAGCTATTTAAGGAGTAAAGCCACAGCAAGATCAGTTCAGAGCAATTCTCATCACTTTAGGTACTGTCTGTAAAGTTTTTAAAAATCCATTATGAACCAGAATTGTCAGATTAGTTATCAGCAAGTATCTCTTTTATGTTTTCCAAGCACAAGACTTAGAGTACACCTTCAAGTGGCAGAATACACATTCAAGTGCAATAGAACTGTCATACCCTCCTCAATGGGCAACAAAAGGGACAAATGTTACTGATTTAACACTACCTATGTAATTAACATCTCCAACAAAAATGTAATTTGGTAAATTATTTTCTAACTTGAACAGGCCGTTTCTCACCTTTTCTTTCCTTCCATTTCAAAGCGAACTGACTTCCAGTTATTTTGTACGACAGAAGCGAACAACTGACTCCGTTATTTAAGACGGAAGTAATGACACAAAAGCTAGATTCTGCCCAGATAACCTCCTTGTTAAGCTGAGAAATGCAGTCCTCAGAAGCCATTAATTCCCACCCCAGTCAACCTATGGAGTTAGAGACATTAGTTTTCTTACCTATACAAAATACTCATAATTGTCATCTTACGGAAAAGTCAAAATTAGCACAACAGAATTATCTTAGCACTAAGTGGTTAAGTGCCACTAAATGTGAAAAACTATAATCGGGCACTAAATATACTGTTTTAGCAAATTTATACTTTCCTAACAGCTTTCAGAATTTGCAAGCTAAACAATTTTTTAAATAACAAGATCTTCTTTACTAAGAAGCTATCAAGTATCTTGCCCTTATTCTGATTAGAGGTAAGGGGTAAAAAAAAATGTTTTTTAATACTTCTAATTTCACAACTTCCCAGGAGGTAGGGTGATTTAATCTGTACCTGGAAGTAAACTTTTTTTTTTAAAAAAAAGAACTTATATGTTGACCTGAGAGTGATGCTTAGATCAGGGGTCAGCAAACATTTTCTGTAAAGGACCAGATGTTTTAAGCTTTGTGGGCTACACACATCTTTATAGAATAATTTTTAATCCTTTTAAAATGTAGAAGCCATTCTTAGCTCAGGAGCCATACAAAAACAGGCCACAGGCTGAAATCTGTTGACCCCTGGCTTAGACATAGCACTTATTTAAATGATACTCATTTCCAATGTTAGTAATGATTTCAATAATTTATATCCTAATCACTTTCTGAAATTAAGCTTATCCTTTAGGTTACAACCTTTCCCCATATTACTGATCTAATGCATTCCTCTCAGCTTGACTTATTTCGATCACTTCTCTATTTGTCTAACTTACATCAAGTAAGATTCTGAAGCTGAGAGAACATGTCATAGGTAAACCCAGGCTGAGCAAAAAATCATTGAGCCCAAATTTCTGAAAGCTGCCACTTAACATACAGCTCAATGGTAAAACCTGGTAGTTTTACAATGTTTATAGATTATCTCACTAATTACTAGAACTGAAAATCTGACTAGGGATTTTACTGCCTTGTTACTACTGTAAAGCATTCTAGTCATCACGTTCCGGGCTTTCTCCAGTGAACCTGGAGATGTGGCTTGTAAGTGTTCCGACTCCCTAAACATTTATTTACACGTTAATCTCAGCAGAATTACAAATGTCTGCATTAGAATCTATTTTCTAAGCATTTATTTATTTTCCTTACAAAGTAGAACTACAGGCATCTGAGAGCCTGAGAATTTGCTTTACCAATTACTTCAACGTTGGGATACAGATGTCCATTAGTATACCTGATATGATCTTACCTTAAAGTCAAAATCATTCCAGTTCTCGTAGCTCCACATTTCTAAGTTTTTATTTAGCCCTTTACTATTTGTTGATTCTTTCCATATAATGCTAGTGCTCTTAAAAATATATTTTAAAAATCCAATATACCGTATTCAGACTTTCTATGCAACTCCCTAACAGCATAACAAAATTTTTCTATTTCAGGACAACCATCTACAGCAATTCGAAAAATAACACAATCAAAATGAACACTTAATATTCTCCCTCCACACCCACACCAACAAGCCCCAAATGTATTTACAACTAGATATATGTCCTGCCTCCACTTTTTAAATAAAACTGAGTAAACTTAGACGTATAGTGCCTAGCGACACATATTAAAATCTTTCATAACTCTGCACAGGTCTCAAAACATTTAATTATAAAAAGAGAGACCTCATCCCAATCATCAATGCAAACTGGAAACATGTTAATAAAAAATATAAGCTCTGGCATTATTTCCATTTAAAAGCATCAAGATAAAAGTTCATTAGAACATTCTATCAGCCACCAAAAAACAAACGACCCCCCGACATTCAGTATGGTTAACCTTCACGCTCAAAAACATGGTTTGCTAAAAAGAAATGCCAATTGTCTTGTCAGTCCTTGAAATTCATTTTACAAGAACTTTCTTATTATAATAATTAAAATAGGTATCCCTCCCAAATGTTGACAGCCTAGTTTAATAAACACCCCACATAAACAAAACCTAAGTTTAAGGAGGAAAAAAGAAATATGAGCATTACCCTTGGGGGTGCACACATAGTCAGAAAACACATGACGATAAATGGGCTCCTATTTGATTGTTTTTATGACTTTTAAGAAGTGAGCATGAAAATAAAATCTTTATTTTCAGTTATTACCCACCAATAAGAGAAAGTTAGGTTCACAGTTTTAGTTCTTGACACAAAGTGAACTAGGAGGCAAATTTACATCCATCAGATACAACTAATGGACCAACTTTTAAATTCCAAGCTATCTTGAAAGCTTGCAACATACCAGATATTGCTGTGTATTCTCTAGTGACAGAATGCCAGCAATGGCTGACAATGAATAGAACTTGTGATGGGTTTTTAATAGCAGTGTTTTTTTATATGTTGCTAGAATCAGGAGGTTTATAACACATTCATGTCCAGAAATGAGTTAAGATACTTCTAAGTCTAAACACACTTATGTATGAGTGTGTTTAGGAGTGTGTATGTTGCAATCTCAAGAGGGGTAAAAGTCCATATGGACTAAATTAATACTTGCCTCTGGGTAGCAGGTATGTTTGTAAATATAAAATTATGTTAAACATTAGCACCAGTGCAGAACATGCTCAGCATCATAAGATCCAAAACACCAGCACAAGTTTATCCATCATTAAAAAAAAACCAATTACCTCCTTCCTAAGATGTCAAACTAGTAGGTAACTAGGTTAATAAATCTAATCCCAATGAACAACTCTTGTACTGTACAATTTCTCATTTAGAAGTATAGGGGAGAACTAATCAGCTAAACAGACATTTTATGATTTAAAGTCTTAAATCATAAAGTATTTTAAAAACTGGACATTACCATAGATAGAAAATTACTAATAATAGTGACAAAAAGATCTTCAAAACTGTAAATAAAACCCCTTTCCTGTTTATCAATAAATGTTGCAGAAGACTTAAAAAAAAAAGGTCCTAGAAAGCCTGTTTGATTATTCTCTCCATGTATGTTTTCGTCAATGGTGATGCTCTCGATCAAGAAATCCATTATTAACCTAATTCTCTAAGGGAGGAAGAGGTAAAAGATACTTATCACTTTCTGTGGAATCTATCAACTTAAGACCAAAATGAATAGCAATATAGGAAATTCAGAAACAGTAAAATTTTTGGTTTGTATTTCATGGATGGTGCTGCTGTTCCAACCTTATAAAGTAAAGCTGTCTGCTTTCCAAATTCCAAAAATTAACATACCCCCCCCACTTACCATACTAACCAGTGCCCTTTGGTTTCTTTAGAACAAGGGTTGAAGGGTTGATTATGGATGTACAATTTTGATTTGGGACCTTTCACACATACAAATCATACTGAGCGGCCACTTACTTTACAGAGCAGTTTAAATATTACGCATTAGCCAAATTAACTTGTTCCACCCACCCTACTGGAGGAGGAAAAACCCAACACCCATAAAACTACTTCACTTGACAGTATGTGTCTATCAACAATAAGTAGCTTAAACAACTTTCACCAGTAAGGTGTCTAGATTGGTTTTTAAAACAGGAAAGTGACATATTTTAAAAATAAATGTAATTAAAATTGTGAATCAATTATAAATTGAACCTAATGAACCATGCAGGAGCAAGGGTTAATAAACCAATGTGCTTTGAATTTGTTCAAGTACGGATATTTTTGTATATAAAGATCTAGCATATATAACAGCTATCATGAGAAGTGAAAAAAGACCTTATCCCCAGAAATGAAAATATTAAAACTAAGTTAAAATACATAAAGTAGTTAGTATTCCACACAGCATAAAATTTGACAATCAAAGTTTACATGTCTCAGTTGACCATGTGTGAAAATGCAAAGCAGGTATTAAAACTGCTATTATGTCCAATATTTAAAACCAGTTTGTAATAGGGGGAACATCTAAATCCTTAATTAAAAAACACAAATGAAGTGAAAGCTTTAAACTGGTACACACTGTTCACACCTATATTTCAAGTTTGGAAATGCATATTTGCAAGCAGCAATACAAAAGTATTCATGAAGAATGCATAATCTCTGAAAATTATGAAAACATCCCCGCTACCAATACATTTCCTAAATACAAAACTGACTACCATATTGTTACTTCTGTGTAGCAGGAGAAGTTCATTTTCAAAACAGATAAAATTCAGTCTTTAGGTGTGAATGGTATGAATGACAGTCTTTTTTTTTTTTTTTTTTTTTTTTTAAATTTCTTAGTCGTTTGGGATCCTTAAGCATGCAAGCCTCAAAGAGGAGGGTCCACAAGGAACCAGGGTTGTCTTATGGCATCCAGTTAAGCCAGAGCTGGGAATGCCTCTGGGTCATCCACATCAGGAGCAGAAGCACTTGACTGAAAAAGAAACAGAAGCAAAATTAAAGATTTTCAAATCTTATTAATATATTTCCAGTGTCTACATTTAGACACAGAATTCTGGAAAAAACTTAGTCTTATTACAATAAGTAAAATATGTCAAAGCTTTTACTTTTGAAAGGCAAAATTATGGATCAGAATAGGACTACAGTTGGGGAGAGATTGGGATTGGCATATATACACTACTATATATAAAACAGATACCTAATAAGGACCTACTGTATAGCACAGGAAACTCTACTCAATACTCTGTAATGACCTATATGGGAAAAGAATCTAAAAATGAGTGGATATATGTATAACTGATTCACTTTGCTGTACACCAGAAACTAACAACATTGTAAACCAACTATACTCCAATTAAAAAAAAAAAAAGAACAGGACTACAAATATTTGCAATGAGCCTTGTCCTAAATTTCTATCAAGATCTCAGAAAACTCCCTAGCAACAGCATGGGTTATTTTTCTAATAAATCACACAAGTAGATTCACACAAGGTATGTATGTGGATTCTTACTCAGTTGTTCAGTATCCTTTTATTTTCCCCACTTGCTAAGTAAGAATGGCAGCAATATGACAGCAGGCTAAGAAACCAATTACAATTATTGAAGCAGCACATTCATGGCTATTTACAGTCAAAATACAAATTTTTACAAAACAAAAAAGTATTGAAAAGATCCATATACACAATGCCTTTAAAAAGAACCCATGTCACAGAAAGAAATAAAAAATCACTACATTGTTATGGGTGACCATAAAATCTAGGATATTAAGTTACCACTATAATCAAACATTGGCAGACTCAATCAAGCAGATGGGTCCCCCAATTTGCATATCAGGTGTTGAGAATTCAGGAGGACATTATGGTTGTTTCCTAGGTAGACCATAAGAGACAATAAACTAACCCAAGTTATCTCTAATACTTTAGTAACATCTAGTCATTAAAACCATGGACTTTGGCATCCGACAGATCATTTCAAATCTACCAATTACTAGGGCTTCTATCAACGTATTTCAGAAGAATTTGTTTTTTGTCACACTTAGTACAAGGCAATGGAGATTACAGAAAACAGGACACAAATGAATCCCAACTTACAGAACAGCTCTCATGAACAAAAAAACAATCAGTCAATGCCACAAAATTATACAAAGGAAACAAAGGTTTTATTAAGCTGAGCCCTAAAAAGCAGTGAAGATTCGTCAAGGCAAAGTAAGTATTTGGCATTTCAGGCAGACCTTACCAAAGGCCAAGAATTACCTTGGTTCCCTTCACCTGAATTTCATCTTCTGTAAAATGGTGGGGTTTTTGTTTGTTTGTTTTTGTTTTTTTAGCACAGTACCATAACTGGCACCAGATAAGTACTCGATGAAGGGTGGTAAACTTAACTACTGGCAGCACTATTCAGTCACATAAGTGCTTTAAACAAAAAATATAACCTAAAATGCAATTTCTTAAAGGCATGCATGTCAACCTTTTTCTTCTTCGACTTATGTCCCCAAAAGGACCTAGGGCAGTGATATATGGAAAGAGGTCCTCGAATTACTTAAAAGGGTAAAAGAAGCCTTAAAACTACCTTGTCAGTCCTGATGCCACGGTTTGGACGTCCACCACGCCCACGGCCACCTCGTCCTCCCCTGCCACCACGTCCTGGGCGGCCAAGGTCTCCAAAATTGATCTCCAGCTGAGACGTTATATCATTTGCTGGCTTCCGGAAATGGTGATCCATAACCGAGTCTTCAGCATGAGCCTAAAAATTTAAGTGAAGGCCACTGGATGATTAATAGGAAAGTAATGTTGCACACTTCTAAATAATGAGTTTTCTCCTAAAAAGACCAAAAATCCAACCTGCTCTTTGTGTGAAAAAATATAGAAACACCTCTACAGGTAATAAGTAAGCTTTGGGATCAGCTACAGTAATCTAGGAGGAATAATTCCCTTCACTTTTCTCTATTTCATGTTCCCTTAACTTTAAATTATAGATGATATTATCAAGTCTTGATTAGAGATATAATCACAATTATTCAAGTGGCTGGGCCCCATCTCACACCTACTGAATCATCATCTTTAGCAGTGAAGTATGAATAAGTACATTTAAAATATGCCCTTCAGATTAGCATTCCAATGTGAACCTCTGAAGAAGACTTGGACAGATGGTATATATTTCTATTAGAGACATTATTGAATATTTAAGTTTTAAAGAGAACTTTTGCTCTATACTCTTCCAACTATGACCTGGGAAAGAAATTATATATAAACTTCTCAAAATGCTTTTCTGTTCATATATAACTATGTGTTCTTCCATATAAATTGGAGAACTACAAATTCAAGTGAAACACGTTACATAAGAAAGGAACCTTGAAAAGCTGTGCACAAATAAAACCATGCCTTAAATTTACCACAGGAACCTTCTTAAAAATGAAGTCATCATATTTGGGAAACCCAGATCCTAAGCTACATAATGGACTCTGCAAAAAAAGGCCAGAGAATTTTACACTGCTTAATATCTGATCTCTTTTGTATGCTTGGGGTGAATGGGTTTTAATCTTCTAGTTAGAAACTTCTCATACTAATTTAAAGTATGTTTTAATTTTTCTAAATACACATATAATCCTCTTTTCTGAAGAGATATTTCACTCTTTCTAAATAGCTTGTAATATTACAACTGTTAATAATTACCTTTTAAGTACAAATAAATTTTGTATTTTTACACAGATTTTCATTCCTTTAATCATCGAATACCCAAATTAAATGTCATCCCTTTAGGTGAACTTTAAAGGCAACAGAAGATTCTTTTTAAAATATTATAAAGGAGCATAAAACACAGATGCAAACTCACAAAATCACTAGCAAATTAAAGTCAATGATATATACTAAGTCTCTGATTTTAAACGTTAGCTATTGCAATGATATCAATTTATCAATTAAAAGCATTTATAGGTTTCCAGAGCACAGAAGCAAAAAAACTTAAGTTGATATACTACTGAAAACATCTTGAAGGTTTTACTATAATAATAAAGAGGAAGTCTGGATGTTCAGGTTACATCCCCAACCTTCAAGTTAACTAGTAGGATAAATTTTTTACAAAGTTTTTTTTCTAGACCACTGTATGACAATGAGGAAATAAGAGCTCTGGTCTCAGCTGTCAATAATTCAGTTCTCCATTTCTCAAAGTTTCTTTCTTTCCCTAACTACTTCATATTTGTTGTGAAGATGAAGATAAGTAAAAGAGAAAGAGTACTTAAAGCACTGTATACAACAAACTTGAAGACCTATCATACCGATCTTTCTCAAATTACAATGGTGTTGCATCCTGATAAAACCTGAATATCTTTAAATCCAAAATACATTTAATACACCTAACTTACCAAACATCACAGTTTGGCCTAGCCTACCTTAAATGTGCTCAGGACATTTACATTAGCCTATAGTTGAGCAAAATCATCTAACACAAAACCACAAAACCTATTTTATAATAAACTGTTAAATATCTCACATAATTTATTAAATGCAGTATTGAAAGTGAAAAACAGAATGGTTTTAAGTGTATCAGTTGTTTACCCTCATGATCAGGAGGCTGACTGGGAACTGCAGCTCGCTGCCACTGCCCAGCATCACAAAAGAGTAGCGAGTACTGCATATTCAGCCTGGGAGATCTAAATTCAAAATTTGAACTATGGTTTCTACTATATGTGCATTGTTTTCACACCATTTTAAAATCAAAAAACCAAAAAGTTCTAAGTTGGGATCAATCTGTATTCAAATGATAAGGCCATATATGCCAGTAAGGCTGGATTTCATGTACATACATCACAAAGGCAGCATAACTATAAGGGTCCAAACATACAAAAGTGGCTTGATAATGAAAATGTCCTGATTTCAAGATTACTCACCAGCAATTTCACATTTTATAATTTTCTAAAATTTCTAATTATATACATCACCTTGTATAATAGTTATTTCTTAAAAGCTCGATGTAAAATAATACTTAAAGCTGGGACACCTAACCTGATGTCTAAAAAATGCATGAAGAGGCTTCAGGGTATTAATGATACTAATGATACAATATATCAGAACATTTTATATCTGTGTGTCCTATTCTGGAGAAAAGTTCCATCGGGACCCCAAAAAGGTCATGAATAATTGTCTCCAAGGTGCCAAGGTAAACCTCTTTCACATTAACCTGAACAGTTTAATAATTAGTTCAAATGAACAATCTCCCCGAAGTGAACTTTCATGGTTCTTTAAATAAAGAATTCTCTTTGTTTTACAGATACACAAAACAACTTTGTCTGCAAGAACTACAAAAAAATAACCAAAAGCATTCTAATGAAGGAAGATGTTTTTTCTTCCCTACAGGAATTGACAATATCCTCATTTATACTACCTTCATGAAGTCAATGTTTAAAAAATCATCTCCAGGGCTTCCCTGGTGGCGCGGTGGTTGAGAGTCCGCCTGCCGATGCAGGGGACACGGGTTCGTGCCCTGGTCCAGGAAGATCCCACATGCCGCGGAGCGGCTGGGCCCGTGAGCCATGGCCGCTGGGCCTGTGCGTCCGGAGCCTGTGCTCCGCAACGGGAGAGGCCACAACAGTGAGAGGCCCGCGTACCGCAAAAAACAACAACAGCAACAACAAAAAAAGTTTAAAAAAAAAATCATCTCCAAACCTCTATTTTATTTAAAAGTATTTCCAAGTTTATTTCACAGCTATTTTTTTGTTTAGAAAATTAAAATGTGGATTTTATTGAATCTTTTTATTACAGGTTGCCTTCATAACATTTCAATTTAACTTTGTGACTAAAATCTCATACTTACACAAACCCTAAAAGGATACAGCAGTGAGATTTTCCTCTAAGAATGTGCCCCAAGGCTTAAATAGAAGCTACCAAATCAAAAGCCACACACGTTTTTCTCAAATATTTTCATTAGTTTCCTTGTTTCCTAAGGAAAGGAAACTCATAAATTAATTCTCTGGTCTTTACAAGACATCACTCCTCAGTAAAGAAGGATAAAGATTCCTGGATATTATATATGGCATACGCAGACAGTTTCCCACATAAAAATGCAAACCGCCTAACCTAATACAAGTCTTAATGACTCCGTTAGGTAAGATTTTTAAAAATATTACACAAATTTGAAAGAATAATTTCTTAGACTATATGATAATGCAGTTTATTTTCCTCTTGGGGCAATTTATCTGCCTCAAATAATCCTATGTAAAACTTTTTATAAACAGATTACCCACGTGAAATTTTAACACAAAAATTGTAAATGCAATTCAAGACATCTGAACATTTTCAAACACCACAAAACTTCATTTTACCTCTTCACTCTTTGACTTATGAAGAACAAATCCCTTCTTCCACTGCCCATCAGCACCTTCATTTGGTTTTCGGATATTAAATTCTACTTTTGCCCGGTCCTTATTTTGAATAGCCTTCCATTCATCCAAAGTCATTTCTTTTGGGCCTTCTTCCTTTACTTCTTCAACTTCATTCTCCCTGTGTGAAAATGTTTTAAGTTTTACACGTGGTAAGGGGCTTATAAAATCATATAACTTACAATTATAAGTAAGGAAGTTAACCTTGGCTGGTTGGTAATCTTCTAGATTACCCAAGGACAGGAGAATCACAGTTTTCTTTGTAACCCAGTGGCTAACATGTGACTTGGCAGAGACCAGGAATCCAATGTTTGAATTATTGAAAGCGTGGATAACTAAGGAACATACAATTCAACTTCATAAACTCTTAAATGATCATCTATCAGTAACACAATCTTGAATTGGCTATATCAAACCTAGAACACATTTTTTAAAACCATACTACTGTTTTTAAAACTTACACTATGTGATTAAAATCATTAACCTAACTTCTCCTAAAACACATTTTTTAATTTCCATAATTTTTCACAATACATAATTTATAACATATATGAATGTAATCTAGGACATCCATAAGCAACCAAGTTTCATATTCTAGAATATAAAAGAACTGTTCCCCTATCCTTTAACACTTAAGGCAAATCTTTAATTTCTACAGATCTTAACGTTATATACTCCAACTTTCAAACGAATCGGTATATGAAAACAAGACTACAGTTTCACTAGTAATGGAAGTTTCTACAAAATACTGGTTTCAATGCTTAACACCAAATTAGTTATTTCTAAATATAATTCTCAGGCTATAACTATTACATATTATCCCTTTCCCTTTTTTACAGAAACAAAGCATGGGCCTAGGAATCCACTATTTAATCTCAATTTCCAATTGTCACCAAACAAGTTGTTTGCTATTTTGGGAGCATTGCTTTCCAAAGATAGCAGGTGATTCAGTTAGCCTTGCTCAAATATCTCCTGTCTGTGCTACTACTCTTTACTGTTTGACAAATCCCATCTTAAAACTTCCCAGACCAAGCTTACACTGAATTGATGAGATCTAGACTGTAAAGTCCAACCCTGTCAGTTTACATATCAGAAAACTAAAGATTGAAAAAAGGTCCTAGGCTACGCCTAAGTTGTACCACAGCCAAGAAAAGAACTCGGCATACCTTTATCATATCATGAAACCATGACACCTACCGTCAAGGGTAGGATTATAAGGATCAAATGAGACAAAACAGAAGCTCTAGAACTATACATAAGGAAGCTAATCAAATTCAGCCAAAGCTGTTTCTTAAATTTACACCTGCACATGCAAGACATAATACTATGTTCAGATTCTCCCCTATTCTGGGGTAAGACTAGAGGCTGTTCTAATGTCATCATCATGGTCTTTAGACCCAATACCCCCTTTTTAGTCCTGGGAACTGAGCTAAGGATTTGCTTCCAATACCCTATCAATAACATCCTTTCCTTCTGATAAAGTTATAATCTTGTCAGATTACTCTTTTTTTTGCAGGCGGAGGGGAGCGGGGGTTTGCGGGCCTCTCACTGTTGTGGCCTCTCCCGTTGCAGAGCACAGGCTCCGGACACGCAGGCTCAGCGGCCATGGCTCACAGGCCCAGCTGCTCCGCGGCATGTGGGATCCTCCCGGACCGGGGCACGAACCCGTGTCCCCTGCATCGGCAGGCAGACTCTCAACCACTGCACCACCAGGGAAGCCCCCCAGATTACTCTTAAAGTGAGTTAAACATGAACTCTTCATTAAGGGAACAACATTTATGTTGAGCTTTGTAAAGTACTTAATGTTACGTAAGGTTCATCTATCTCACCTATCACAATTTCATTGTTTACCACACAAAATTAAGACTCCATAGTTTCGTATAAATGAATTTATATTACCAAGTTCTACACATCACTTAACACCATGTATTTTTATCTACTCTCTCCAATAGTAAATTGATTATTATTCCTTATTCAAACAAATCCACAAAATATGATTTTCCAATCATTAATAGTGGTTCACTGTAAGAACAACTCTTTCTGGAGAAAAAGAGAAGTTTAGAAAAGCATTGCCTCCCTAAATGATTTGAATATGCCCTGATTAAGAATTACTGACCTAAATAATCTGTAATGCAAGACTTTAAACCACATACCGAAAGAAATGCCTGGCATATAACTTCTGCTTGTATTGATGGAAACCAGAGGAAGGCATTAAATTATTTCTACTAGCATAACTTGAGTCTTTAAAACTCTCCCACACCCTTGAACAAACAATTTCAAAACCGTCTTCTAGTGAACCGACAACATATTCTGGTGCTTGCTCTCCTCACACATTTTAAAACAAGCCAATAATGCTATGTTCCAAATTCTATGTTGATGGAAAAAAAAACTTCAAGGAGATGGAGCAACTAATTTTAAAATGGTCATGTTTTCTCATTTTAAACTGTATTAGAATAAAATTTGTATAGTTACATAGAGTCCAAAGTACTTTGAACTACGAGTTCCAAATATTTCTCAGGTTAAAACAGCTATTTTTGTGCTTAGGGTTAACAGGATTTACTAAAATACGTATCTTCCGTATCTTTTTAAGATGACAATGGTTAACTTCAAATAGAAATAACCACTTCTATTTGTCAAACCATTAGAGCCCAACATATACATTTGTAAACCACTCCTCTAAACACTATTTGAGGGAATGGAGTACAATAAAGTCTCTCCTTTTAAAAAGCAAATAAATAATAGCATTAAGCCTACAGGTTGTTTTCTTGTTAAACCCCAAACATTTCAATGCTCGAGCATTACCGCTACCGTACACACAAATCACTTACTTATTTTCAGTGTCCGCAACTGGATGTTCTTCACCTTCAGGTGTTTCCTCAGTCACATTTGATTGCTCCAAGTCACTGCAATTATAAGATATTGGTTTCTGAATGTATTTGGGGGACTCTCTAAGGAAAGAAAGAAAAAAAAAAGGCATCTAGGTCCATTTACATGTAGCTGAAAGTCTTCACAGAAATATTTTAAAATTCTCACATTCCCAATGTCTTTTCCTACTAAATTTACTCCCCAGTAGACCACTAAGAGAAAATAATTTAAAAATGTATACTGATCCAAGTTATAGCTCAAGTACATTACTCAAAAAGTAGTATGACAGCAGTTAGTTCTAAAATAAAGCCTTACTGGCTTTTCAAATTTTTGTCATCACCGAAGGGGTCAATAGCTAGAATAAGAACTATTAAATAAGAAACATACAATAACATAATACCCAAATAACCTCAAAATAGGATTTCAATAAAAGCTATACATCCATATGAAAAGAAAAATTAGTACCATATATTTTTGAAACGTAGAAAAACTGGTCATTTGATACATTATAATCCAAACATATCCAAAAAAGCATTCATTATCTTGTAAGGAAGTAGCTCTGAGATAAGAGCATCCATCCTTGTCCCAGGGACAAGTAAAAATTTAATGGGCAAACCTCTAGTAAGGTATAAGATCAATTTTATTAGAAGTATTTATTTAAAAAAACCAGAATACCAACGTTAATTCATCTTTGACAGTTCCCCAGTTGTGAGATCCGCTACCTCCACGCTTGTCCTCATGCTTCAGGCCACTGTAATGTGAAAAAGAACTAACAAAACTGAGTTAACATAATACTCTTTAGTTCTAGAAATTCAAATTTTGTTTTATTAAAGTAGTAGCTTCAAATATAAAAGTATAATAAAAACCAATATAAGACTTACGATCTATCACTTCCACTATGCCTATCAAATTCACGTTTGCCACGAGAATCAAAGCCATCTCCCCGGCCCATTCCTCGTCCACGACCTCCTCGACCTCTTCCAAGACCACCACGGCCTCGGATAGGCCGGTCAATAATCGGTCTGTAACAAATAAAAAAATATTATATACTTCTAAGGTTTCTGGTAAAAGGAAGAAGGGAAATTCAAAGGCTCAAAGATGCAGGAACATATTTACTGGCTCATATCCCAGAGGAAATCAAAACTAGGAAACTCCCCAACGTAAGAAAATTACTTTGACATTCTCTAAAACTTTACTACTAATGCATATACTTCTTCCTTGTTACTCATTTCACATTATAATCTAGTAAAACTGCTATTCACCAATATACATAAAAATTAAAATAAACACATGTAACCTTCATAACTGAAGTGTTTCATTACAAGAAATCTAAGTTTGAATACTAAAAACTGTTACCAAAATGTCCTAAGAACAACAACACATACTTAGACGTTTCGCTAGAAAAACTGATAAAATTAACTAGCCACACTGCTTCCTGGCAATTATGCTCAATTTATCTGTGTTAAGATGTCTCTCTATAAACTGACAAAACATGAAGAGATTAAGAAACAATCTTGCCTATCAACTGAAAATTCTCCTCCTTCACCCTTTTCTTCAAGTGGTTTTTCAAATCGTCGTTCACGAGGTGGTCGCCTTTCTGGTCTCCTATCAATTATCTTCCCTTCACCCTGAAGTTGCTGATCAGGTCTTCTTCCAACGCGTCTTATTCCTAAAATGATTTTAAAAAAAACCACGTAAGCAAATTATTTTTTGTAACACAAAAAACTAGGCCTAGGCTGTTAAAAGAAAAAAAAATTTACTCTTTAAGTCCATTAACTAGCACTTCCCACTGAAAAAGGCTGACACTGGGCATCTCTAAAGTGTAACAAGGTACTTCAGAAAAATTCCTATTTAAATAAACTTGTTTCAAACTTCCATTCAGTTTGCCAAATCACTTTTTTCCCCTAAAGCATTCTCTATAACTGACCTGGAAGTCATTTGGGTAGCCATTATTTCTCTCACTTTTCAAGATGCCAGTCTCTTAATTTAAAATTCTAAATTTAAAGAAATTTTAAGCAAATGATACATTTTGGTTTTAAAGATACCAAAGATAACACCATTAGCCATTCATAAATAATAACCAAGCAAACCAACACAATCACCAGGTAAAGACCCCCCAAAAAACCCCAGTGAAGACATTATTTTATTTTATATAATCTGGAGGGGGAGAAAAAGAACAGAGTAAAAAGACTGATGATTCTATGAAATTACAAAACTGAAAGGAAAACAAATGGCATTTAAGATTACATCTCTGATGGATAACAAGGTCTTACTGTAGAACACGGGGAACTATTGATATATTCAATATCCTGTGATAAACCATAATGGAAAAGAATATATTAGAAAAAAGAATGTATATATGTATAATCGATGAATCATTTCACTGTACAGCACAAATTGACACATTGTAAATCAACTATATTTCAATAAAAAATTTTCTCTATAGTTGAAGATAGCTATATAACAGCAAAAAAGTACCATTTTCCTCTCCTGTTGCAGTCTACACACATATATATGTATACATATACATACATACCACACCTAACTTTTAAAACATACTGTTATGCAACCAACAGGAAATAGTCCACTTATTTTATTATTATGGAGATTTTTTTGGTTTGCCCTTTCAAGTATCTTCGTTTCCAAAGAATCTTTAAAAACCACATACACAAAAGGACCCCTTTTAAGCAAGACACAGAAATAGAAACTTGTGAAACTAAGTGATGGCTGAAGCATTTACTGATTTCCCCCTTCATTCATTACTTTTTTCCTGTTAGTGTCAGAGGCCAGAAAGGCAACCAATATGCATTACTGGTAGCCTTAAAGATAATAAGTAGATTGATGGTTAAATTCATGACTAATATTTTAGGTATGCTCTAATTCCCAATCCACAATTTCTGACAAAGTCAAAAAGCACCTGAGGAATTGGTTTCGCAAGAAATTAAGTTGGTTCACTCTGGTTCTTTCTAAGAAAGTGTAACACCACCAGGATGCCCCCAATTGTTCGGCTGCTGGTAGCCAAAGTCAAACGGTAAATGTCAAACTCTTCAGTGAAATTTTAAGGTCCATTCCATACACTCTCAGGACAGACCAGAAATCTTAGATCTTACACCAAGGCATTTTAAATAAATTTCATCAGAGGTAGTGTATTAGGGTGGAGCTATGGAACCAGTCCTTATAATATCCAAGCCACACACCCAAGTGAACAATGGCTTGCTTCCCCACCCCAATATCCAGTATCAGGCTTACAGAATCTACAACACTTACAAAATAAATCCACCCAATGACTGACATTTAAAAATGCAAGCGTCTCTTGATTTTCACTAGATTCCAGGCTTCTAACATTAAAAAAACAAATGAGTAGATGGTGTCAATTCTCAAGTTCCTCAAATGGCCAAAAGACAAACTACAAAATTCAAAGAATATAAACATCAAACACACATCTAAGGCAAGTAAGTCTAGGATCATGCCAGGACCTCTATTCAAAGGCAAGGAACACATGATCAGGTTAACAATCAATCCCATGACAAGAGGCAGGGACTTTGTTTACAGGTCTATCCTTCCCCAATGCCCAGAATTGACTGCTAAGAGGTAAGGCCTCAAAACGATTTTTTTTCATTCAATATTTTTATAGGCTTGTGTTTTATGCAATTTAAGGTTAAGTGTGCTCTGAAATGCTGACCTAAGGAAAATGTTGATAGGTAATAATGGAAGTTTTCCCAAGGAAAGACTACTGAATGTTGAACTCGGTCCTGGTCATAAATTTATGAAATGAATTTTTAACTTTGTAATTTAAAATACTAGGTTCCTGCTAAGAGCTTATTTCAAAAATGGGCTTTATGATCAAAACATATGAGGGGTTTAAACCATGCTTTATGTTTCAAAAATTCAAAAGGGGTGAACACACTTCAGATTCCATTTTTTCATGTACTTTCTTTGGATTAGTGTGATGAAGGAGGTAAACTTGAGCAGATTAAATAAATACACAAACCAGTGTTCCTTAACATAGAAATTAGATTTATTACATTGTGCTACAGATTGCTATAAAACTTAGCTGAATATTTAGTCTAAACGATGTATATACATGCTTTCTAATACTCCAACTTGTGCTTCCCTCCCCAACCTGTAATTTTAATACAACTGTTTTATTTACCACCTAGGTTCTTCACCCCAAGCCTCACAAAGCTCTCTGTATTTTCTAAAAATTCTAAACCAAAACCTAACACAATTGTTTCGATTTTTTTAATTTAAATTAGTTGAATGTTATCAAATTCGACTAAAGCTAATGAGAACTCCTTTCAGAAGCACGTGGCAAAATTTCAATTTTCAACACATAAAGGAAACCTTTAAGCTTCAAAGCTTAAGTCCTACACCTACTTATTACGGATCGTGTACACTTTTTCTAATCCCCCACTGTTTTGCTTTCTCATCCATCACAAAAGACAAACCAGTAACGAGTGAGAGAGCAAAAACCAAGTTCAAGACAGTCCTGAGAAGTTTACAGTGACCTGGAAGCAACTACTACCCGCCAATGAAATCCTGACCATGCTTCACGCACATGGGGAGAAAAAGCTGCACTCCAAAAGGCTCTGCAGCAGCTAAACGCTGTGACAGCCTCGGCACTCTTTGCACCACGAGGCCCAGGCCAGGCCACACCACATGAAACACTGCATGCGGGGGGTCCGGCCGGAGAAAAAGATCGTGACCCGAGGACGAGCTTCAGGATTTCCTGCCATCACCAATCTTCATTCAGAATTCCCGCTTCTGCTCAATCCAGGGTGGCCAAATTTCTCTCCCTCCCAACAGCCTGACGCACTCCAGCAAGTTATTAAGTTTGCAATAGTGGTGCGGGCGAGGGAATAACGACAAAGCACAGGGGGCACCTAAAAGGGCACCTTGCTCCACAACATCCGATAGGCTCGAACGTAGCGGGGGGGGGCGTAGGTGGAAACTCCGACCCCCAGCTTTTCTCGGGGGTACCCCACGCCACCCTGGGACAAGACGGCAGGGCAGGAGCCTAAAAGACACAACCGCACCTCAGAGCGGCGGGCTGAGAGAAAGCTCTGAGCAGGAAGAAGCCGCGGAGGCCCCACCATCCCATTAACAACAAACGCTCCGAAAAGGAGCTCCCTTCCCCGAACCTTGGCCCATGCGCTCGCCCGCCAAGGAATCCGGCGGGAAGACAACAGCCTCCCAGGATCCCGACCACGCTCCTCCGCTCAGAACCTGAGGCGGGAAGGGGTGGCTCCAGGATCCTTGCAGGTGGCGGTTTGAACTTGTGGCTACCACGCTCCCAGCACCTTCGCAGGACCTGGCTTTCATCAGGCGGGGGAAACGCGAAGAAATCGGCGGCCAAGTCTCCCGCGGACCCTCGGAGCTCCAGAAGCCAGTGGTAGCCGCCAGTCCCCTCGCTCCTTCCCTCCATCCCGGGTCTCCCCCACCTTCCACCACAGCTTTACCTTCTTTCTTAAGCGCCACGGGCGGCTGCGTCTCCTCCTTCTTGTCAACCACGCCGACGTTGGGGGGCAGCGGGTTCTTGCGGTCTTTCTGGGACTCTTTACGCAGCTGTTTGCCCGCCGCGTTGGAGTTTGTCTGGGCTGCGGCCTGAGCTGCGCTCTTGGCCCCAGGGCCCCCAACGCCGCCCCCGCCGGCTTCTTTTTTCTTGTTCTCTGCTGCCTTCAACACCTCGAAGGGGTCCGATTCGTCGTCAAATAACTGGTCGAATCGGTTGGTGACCACGCAGCCGAAGCCTTCTTGTAAGTGCCCAGGCATGATGGTGGCTCGGCGGCGCGTTCCTCCACGGATTGCAGCGGGCCGCGCCGAGCCAAGAGCGCCTGCTTCAGCTCTTCCCACAAGATGGCCGGGCCGAGAGAGGGGGGCCGTCTTCTCTTCCGGCGCCAGGCAGACATCCGGGAGCGGCCAGCGCCGCGCGGTACCATGGGTTGTGTAGGCCGAAGTCGCCTCTCCCGAGGCGGCTCCCAGCGTTAGGACTACAATTCCCAGAACACACGGCGCGACAACTCTTCGCGCGCGCCTCAGAGGCGGGACCTCACCGAGGGAGTGGAGCAGCAAGCAGAGGGAGGAGAAGAGTGGTGGTGGGCGGAGCCCTGCCACCTGCTCTCGCCACCCTTAAACTCTCCGGGTCTCGAGCTGCGCTGAAAACAGGAAAACGGCTTGTTTTGCTCGGGAAAGTTCTGAGCTTTCGCTTTTACGTCCCGCCTCTGGCCCAGGGCTAACTTTCCCCACCTGTCCGGGAGGTCAAGGTGACTACCAGTCTTACAAGTGGAGACTCACAAACTTCCAGGGCTGGAGGGTTGCTGAGGTGCCGCACTTGCCTCACGAAGGAAGGACCCGTCCTTAGCTGATCAGTTGCTGGAGTCGCCCTCCTGCAGCCCCAATAATGAATTGAGGCTCTTCTGTTTAATATGAGGCGGAATACGCTTCCTCTCGCGGGGACTGAACTCGAGCAGCAGAATCAACCCAAAAGACAAGTTGAACTATCATATGTGAGTGTTGCGCTCTTTTCTTGTGTGAAGAATGCCGTGTTGCCACTAGTGCTTTAATTGAAGTAAACTGCTGACACTGCAACACTAGCCAGACGCTGGGCAAGCCTCGAAAAGGCACTGTTTGTAGAAACACTTTCTAGAGTCAATCCAATTGTCCTTTAGTGTCCGGCAAGCCAAGGATTGGGTGTCAGTAAAAAGTGCTCAAGAAATAACATTTTAGAGCATCTGAATGTGTGGTCTGCTGAGAGGTGCAGTGAGGGGAGGAAAATAATATCAGCGAATTAACTGTCATTACTAAAAGCATTGATATTAGTTGAGAATATTAAAGTCCATTAATGTAATAGAGTGTCAGTGCGTATTCAGGCATATTTGGTAACGCTGTAAGTGTACTATCATAATTTTAAAACCTTTTTCCATTAACATAAAATATAGAAAAATGCATCTCTATGTTCCAGGTGCTATGAACAACCTTAATGTCGACAACAACTTGTTAGGTAGGTGGTTTTCCCATTTCACAGTACCACATTCACATCTTTTTAAGTGCTAGTGCCAGGAGTTAACCCAGTCTTCTAACTCCACTCTGAGACTCTTGACATCAGCTCTTTAATCCAGACTCTGATTTCTGATAGAAGTCAGTCAATATAAGTTAATTTACAGTATTTAATAAGATTTAAATATCGTTGCATGTCAGGCAGGGTATGTCACATGGCCAAATGGAATCTTATCGATTTCTGAGCAGAATTTAAATCAGTTCCTTAACAGGGAAAATAAGAGAGTCGTGTTACAAGCATGTGGCAGCAAGCCTGGTGTTTTTCTTACTTCTAAATCCAGCCCCCATTCCTCAAAGTCACCTATTTCTCTGTCGCCTCAGTCCCTGCCATACACACTCCCATCTCACACAGAGACCCCACCTCCTTCCATGAGCTCTGGCTCTTGTAGCTCCTACCAAGACAAAGGACAAGGAGTGTTTGACTATACTCTTCATGCCCCTTTGAAAATAGCGCAAGTGCCATTTGGAAGATCTCCCTGCTTTAACAACATCTTTCTCTTTACCAAGGGCTGTTAATATCTGCATCTTTGAGACATCTGCTACACCTCCTCCTCTTACCCCTTTCTGACCACTGCCACAACAATGTCAGGAGCTAAAACTTTATATTTTATTAGGTACTTGGTGCACTTTACATGTGTGATCTCATTTAAGCCTCACGTCAACTCTATGAGAAAGGTATTATTATTGCCTTTTTAAGGTGAGGAAAATGAAGCACAGAGGAACTAAGTAACTTACCCACTCCTACCACAGTCTGGGGGGTGGGGCAGGCCTGTCCTTAGTTGTTTTTTATCCTATGTACAGGTCTCTGATTTCCTCAGACAGATCTTTATGACCACCAAGCACTCTTGCAACAAGAATACTTAAAGATATGCTACATGTAGGGAAATTGTATGGCTATGAATTTTTGAGTTTCAGTCATGCTCCTCAGGGACTTTATCTATTAATATAACGTAAAAATATAAATAAACGTTTGGGGAAAAACGGGAAAAATTTGTAAGCACTTTCAACTTCCTTCTCTCCCTTTTGACTCTCCTGGAATTTTGGTTAATACAGGAACTTTTTTTTTTTTTTTTTTTTTTTTTTTTTTGCGGTAGGCCTCTCACTGCTGCGGCCTCTCTACCGTTGCGGAGCACCGGCTCCGGACGTGCAGGCTCCGGACGTGCAGGCTCAGCGGCCATGGCTCACGGGCCCAGCCACTCCGCGGAACGTGGGATCCTCCCGGACCGGGGCACGAACCCGCGTCCCCTGCATCGGCAGGCCGACTCTCAACCACTGCGCCACCAGGCAAGCCCTTAAAGCCCATTTTTAAAGTATACAAATAAAGCTCCAAATGCTAATTCTTTTACATCTCACAATTTTATTTTATATGTAATTATTTTTGCAAATGTTTCCTTTCTTCTGAGAAGTTGAAATAGTCTTTAAAAATATTTAAAAGTTCCTGCTACTCTCAATAGAAAAAATATTGGCCAAATAAACCTCAAGAGAGAAGGAAAAGGAGACTTCTTGCAGACTTATTCAAATGAATGGCAGGAGTTGTAAGGTGACATGGTATAAGATATCACTGATTAGAAATGTAGCTTAAAATATCAGCTCTCTGTAGCGATGCTTGAATCACATATTGTTCTCTGAAAAATACTTGTGCAACTTCACAGCCTTATCTATAGCAAGCTCTCTAGAGTTTTCTAGCAGTAAATGCTGAAAACTATCCAAATACCTTGATTAAATATCCAATATAGTTGCCTGATGTTAATGTAACTGAGAAATGGAATATTATACCTCCTTCCGGCCCTCACTTGTTTTTAGGATGCTAATACTCAGTTGTCAACCACATTACAACTTGTTTTTTACCTATTTCTAAATCTCAAGTCTCTGTTACTAACTGTTGCTATATTATAATAGTAATTACTAACAAGGACTACAGTTTGAGCATTTGCTATGCACTTGACACTGTGCTGAATACCTTGCATGAGTCATTTCCTTTAATTCTCAGAACAACATTATGGAGTAAATAATATTACTCCACTCCCCTTTTACACATGGGGAAACTGTGGTTAAGTGCCTCTCCCAAATTCATATTGCCTAGAAGAGTCCAGACAGTCTGATCTCACAGCCTGTTATACTTGTGAGTGGCATGATAGAGAGAACAAAGTCTTTCATGGCTACCACCTGTAGCAAAAGAAAACTATTATTCTATTATAACACTTTGGGGACACTGGATACAGGTATCATATAAATGTAAATAAGAGAATCTGATTTTTAGTGTACTCTATATAATGCATTTTTAAAACAAAAGCAATAAAGGTGGTTCTTATGAAGAAAAGGGCAAATCCGCCATGTCTGAGTATGGAATGCTAAATATAATATTCAAGTCTCGGCTCTTGCTAAAGTTAGGATATCAAAGCTAAAAATAGAAATGTTACACTCTCTATTTTGTCACCTCAAACTTTCTTTGAAGGTTGATACTCTTGATTTTAAGCTTCCCTTCCTTTTTTCCCTTACATTGTACTCTTAAAAAAAACACACACACACAACTTTATTGAAACATAATCCACACAGCATAGAATTCACCCATCTAAAGAGTACTATTCAAAAGTTTTTAGGATATTCACAGAGTTGTGCAGCTATTACCATTACCTAATTTTAGAACATTTTTATCACCCCCAAAAGAAACCCATACTCATTAACTGTCACTCCCCCATTCCCTCCACCCCCAGCCCTGGGCAACCACTAATCTACTTACTGTCTCATAGATTTGTTTATTCTGGACATTTCATAGAAATGGATTCATGTGGTCTTTTGTGACTGGCTTCTTTTCACTTAGCATAATATTTTCTAACTTCATCCATGTTGTTGCATGTATCAGTACTTCATTCCTTTTTGTGAATAAATAATATTCCATTGTGTAGATAGACTGTGTTTTATTTATACATTCACCGGTTGATAGACATCTGGGTACTTCTGCTTTTTGGCTATTATGAATAATGCTGTTATGAATATTTGTTTGTAGAACTTGTATGGACATATGCTTTCATTTCTTTTGGATATATATCTAGGAATGGAATTGCTAGGTCATATGGTAACTCTGTTTAACATTTTTAGGAGCCAGACTGTTTTCCAAAGAGCGTGCACCATTTTACAATCCCACCAACAATTATGAGGGTTCCAAATTCTCCATATCCTGTGTGTTTGTCTTTTGATTATAGCCATCCTAGTGGGTGTGAAGTGGTATCTCATTTTAGTTTTGATTTGTATTTCCCTAATGGCTAATGATGTTGAGCATCTTTAACATGCTTATTGCCCATTTATATATCTTCTTTGGAGAAGGTCTATTTAGATCTTTGCTATTTTCTAACTAGTATATTTATTTTTTAATTATTGAGTTATAAAAATTCTTCATGTATTCTAGATCAAGGGCCTTATCAGTTATATGATTTACATATTTTGTCCCTGTTCTGTGGGCTGACTTTTCACTTTCTTGGTGGTATCCTTTGCAGCATAAAACCTTTTTAATTTGATATGGTCTTTTGTGATGAAGTCCAATTTATCTATTTTTCTTTGGTCACTTGTGCTTTTGTTGTCATATCTAACAAGCCTTTGCCTAACCCAAAATCACAAAGATTTACTCCTATGTTTTCTTCTAAAAGTTTTATAGATTTTTAAAATAGTATTGGCTCTTACATTTAGGCCTATAATCCATTTAAAACTAATTTTTTTGTTCCATGTATTCCCCTTCCTTTTAATTTAAATTAATTTTGAATATGTCAAACCCAAAGAAAAATTTTAGAAGGAAAAAAAAGGTGGTTATTTTTCATCTTACTATTTTAGAAACATTTTATTTTGGACATTACAATAAATTGCAAGTTTTTAGGTTTAAATACATCCAATGAAGTTCCAAATGCACCTGTATAAACCCCTTTGAAAACAGAAAATATATTTCACACTTAATACTATTTATTCATTTTGATAATAAACATTTAATTCAACAACTATTTATTGAACATCCACCTGTATGTCAAGCACTGCTCTGAGTCCTAGGGATTCTGTGGTGAACAAAACAGGCAAGGCCCTGGTCTTCGTGGACTTTACATGCTGGTGGAAAGAAGCAAAGAATAAACAAGTAAATAAATGTCACTGACATCATTTTCAGAGAATGGTACCTACTATGAGAGCATAATGTGAGGAAGGGACAACTGTTTTGGATTGTATGGTCAGAAAGCCCTCTGAGCTAAGGCCTGAACAATGAGAAGAAACCAGCCTTGCAAAGACTTTAAGAAAAAGCTGAGGAAACAGCAAGCAAGAGAACATGAAGTAGGAAGGAGCATGTAGATTCCAAGACAAAAAACAAAAGCAAAACCAAAAATCTCTGAGTGTGTAGCCAGATGAGCATGAGGTTGGAGTGGCGAACTGGAAGACAGATCTTACAGTGAATACAAAGGTAATTTAGTCTGTATGTGCTTTCAGATTGCTTCTAATTTTCTCTGCCAAGAAGAATCCCTTGGGCTTCCCTGGTGGCGCAGTGGTTAAGAATCCACCTGTGCAATGGGGGGGACACGGGTTTGAGCCCTGGTCCGGGAAGATCCCACATGCCGCGGAGCAACTAAGCACACGTGCCACAACTACTGAGCCTGAGCTCTAGAGCCTGCGAGCCACAACTACTGAGCCTGCACGCCTAGAGCCCATGCTCTGCAACAAGAGAAGCAGCCACAATGAGAAGCCTGTGCACCGCAACGAAGAATAGCCCTGCTCGCCGCAACTAGAGAAAACACGCATGCAGCAACAAAGACCCAACGCAGCCAAAAATAAAAATAAATAAAATAAATAAATTTTAAAAAAGAAGAAGAAACTAACATGGTAATAAAGCTTACAATATAAAATATTCTGGGGACTTCCCTGGTGGTCCAGTGGTAAAGAATCCACCTTACATTGCAGGGGACGCGGGTTCCATCCCTGGTCAGGGAAGTAAGATCCACATGCCGTGGGGCAACTAAGCCCACATGCCATAACTACTGAGCTCGCGTGCCTCAATTAGAGAGGCTGCGTGCCGCAAACTACAGAGCCCACATGCCCTGGAGCCAGTGTGCCACAACTAGAGAAGAGAAAACCCACACACCACAACTAGAGAGAAGCCTGTGCCGCAACGAAAGATCTTGCATGCCTCAGCGAAGATCCCGCGTGCCACAACTAAGACCTGATGCAGCCATAAATAAATAAATAAATAATAAATCTTTTAAAAATATTCTGTAATCAAAATTCTCATTTGTTATTCTGAAAGAAGCCAGGTCAACACATTCTTGAAGTTTTAACCTGATACTTTAGGCATTGAGAGCGCAAAGGCATTCTTATTGATCCCATAGGAGCTCAAACATTGCTTTTTTTCACTAAAAGTTCCCTCTCCGTACTCTGACTGTTCTTGGCTTCTGTGAAGTAGGTTAGATGTAACAGTACCAAACAAAGATTGTTGGCAGAAGGTTTCTTCATGGTGATATCATATTATTTACCAGGAGCTACCAAAAAACTGAAATAGTACATGTGCAGGTGGTATCCCTAAAATTGAAAAATCAGTAGAGTTAATTATAAGTGCAATGCTCAGACATAATAAGCACCGAATGAATAGGAGCTGTTATCACAATAGCTTAAACCAATCCTCAGAGACACTACTCTTGATTGCTGGCTGGAATCTCTTAGGTTTCTGCTGCTCCCAGAAGAAACAAATGGTGAGGTTATAGGAGATGGATCCTTGTGGCTGACATTCACATGTGGAGATTACGTGTAGAAATTTTAGAGCAAGTTGTGTGTGTGCAGAGATCTCAGGTTAGGCAGAGACACAGGAGTGAGGGCTACAAGGCCTTGCTGCCCACTGTCACCACAGGGAGTTTCTTCCTCTAGTGCCAACTTTGTAGAGATTGGGTTTGAATTTGTTAAGGGTATTCCTTTTAAATTTAAGCTGGGGCCTCTGCTTTCCTAGAAATTGCATACAAAATTTTGCATATTCCCAGAATAGACCTTGCTTTCATCAGATCTTTTGAAGAATTTAAGAGCAAATATGTAGAAACAGAAAGCAGATTCTCGTAGTGGCAGCCTACACCCGTGGAGGGGCTTGGGGACGAATGGGTAGTGACTGCTAATGGGTGTGGAGT